AAAAAAAAAAGAATTCACACCCCACTTGAATCAAATGTATGATATATCAAGATCTTTGTAATGATTTGAGCAACTAATAAAAAATTAATTAAAAATATGTACAGTTGTTATGTGTCAATTAAAAATTCAACAAAATAAATATACTACTTTAACGAAAAAAAAAAAAGAAAAGAAAGAAATTAGGACCAAATGTATAAGTTCATAGCCACTCAGAATCAAGTAAAGTAGAGACGTCTTTAGAAAAGTCTTTACCTTTTTTACCTTGGGCCAGTACCACTGTGTCTTGCATTTTCTTATACCTGTTTAGGCACTGTCGGAGATCTTCTATTTTTCGATCCTATACATAAAATAAATTATCATCTTTAACATTATGGTTTTAAAACAGTAGTGGTAAGTCTGACAGAAAGAATAAGTGGACATGAATTACATACATTATTCAAAGAATACTTCTAAACTTTAGTGAAACTGGTAATATCTAGAATATTTTTCCTACATATATCAGAGATATGGAAAAAGTACCTCTGAATTTAGAGATCCTATCCTTCAGCTACCATCTTTAAAAAACAAAAACAAAACATGGTAATAAGATACAATAAAAAAAAACATGAAAAAAATCAGCTTTTATTACTCTTCTAACTTAGAAGTTCCGTCTTGAAAGAAAAACCCAAAACCTGTGTTAGCTATCTTTATTATCCACTATTAATAGATATCTAGTTTCTTCCTTCTTAAAACTCACCAAATTGGATTTGATTCATCATCATTGACCTTCGATCTATTAAACAATATATTAACAATTAACATTTTTCATCCCTTTTCTAATTTAATCTCTGTCTGGAACTTTATTGACCCCACTCTTAACTCCTTTCACTTCTCTGTCCACTCTTTCTTTTGATATCTTAATCCTTTAACTAGATATTTGTCATTGTCTTCTTCTCCTCTTTTATCTATCTATCTATCTATCTATCTATCTATCTATCTATCTATCTATCTATCTATCTATCTATCTGCCTATGTATGTATCTACCTATCTACCTATTTTCTGGTGGTGCCAGGGCCTTATATATGCCAGGTAAGAGCTGCTACCACTGAGCTACATTCCCAGCTTTAGATAGTCTATTTCTATAACCCCCATTATTTCTCAACCTGAGCTATAAAATGCTGGAGCTCCAAAGTTCTGTCCTTGACCCTCCTTACTCTTTTCCTATGTCCTCAATTGTGGTGATTAAAATGGCCTCCTCTAGTCCTGATTCTGGGACTGGACATGTGACTTAATTTGGCCAATAATATAGCAACTAAGCATTTGCACCTTGAGGCTGCCTTCTGGTGCTGCTCTAGGGAACTCCGAGGAACTATGTGAAAAAGCCTATGCTAGTCTGTTGGAGGAAGAGAGATTATTTGGAGAAGAGACAAGTCATTCAAGATAGGGTGAACCCAGACCAATGCCTCAGTTACCAGACATGTTAAGTCAAATTTTTCTAGACCATGTAATGCCTCTGAGCTGCTAGCTTAGAGATCAGCTAAGCCAGCCTAGACCAGAAGAACCTTCTTGTCAAACCACAGAAGCATGAGAAATGATAAGCGTGGTTTCTCATGAAGCAAAAGCTAACTGACACATCAACTGTAGGTTAGCTTCTACCAATTTACAATTCTGGATTTCTTCAGAAATGGAGGGGTTCAATCCCCACTAATTCATAATTCCACAAATCTTAAAATTTAAATTTGTATGCCAATTTTCTATGAAAAATCTCCTTTAAAATGTCCCGTGGGCATATAAAATTGAATATATGTAAAACTAAGCTCATTATTTTCCCCTAGTACTTACTTAAGCCTCTGCTTGGATTTCCTTAATCATCATCCACCCAGTTGCTCAAACCAAAAATTTATTTTCATTTCTCAAATCCAGAGATCTGAGAAGCTTGTCAATCTGTAACTTTCTCTAAGATTTTGTCCTTCTTTACCAATTTGCTGCCATTGCCTGATTGTAAGCCCTCTTCATTTCTCATGACTATATCAACATCCTCTTGATTGTGCTGTGTTCATTCTCCCTCTTATTCTCGCCTCCATTCTGCCACCAAAGTTAGCTTTCTAAAAATAGCAATTTAATTTCGTCATTTCTTAAGGTCTACAAGCTCAGTCCCCAAATCATGAGATTAGCAAAGTTGCTTTGGTCAGTCACACACCCAGCCGCAACCCCTGGATATCATGCTCAACACCTTCCCACTATATCCTAGGATATTTCAAGCCTGGGTTTCCACATGTGTTTTGGCTCATGGGCCCTTTGGCTAGAAGCCTTTGTTTTCCTGATGAACTACTGTTTCTCCTTGGAATTTTCCTCTTTGAACTCTGGAACCCTCAAGAAAGTTGTTACTCTTGGTGTTCTTGGCAGCTTGGGCATCTAATAGGAGTTCATTAAACATCAGAAGTTTTGCTTATTGTTGCTTTTTTAGGAAGGAAATACTAAAACAAAATGAACGTTAGTCATTTTTGTTGTTGTTGTTTAAATAAAAGGTATGGCGAGCAGCTTGCTAATTATTTTTGTTTTTATTCAAAATTGGGAAAGACTAGAAAAAGAAACCTGCAGATGGGCAGGTGAGTATGACAATGAGTTTATTTCCACAGAAAAAAAAAGAGAAAATAAAGAAAATGATAGACAAAATGATAAGGAAGTAAGAAAAATAGAACAGGCAAGAATTAGAAAAGTTATGATGATAGAAAGTGATCAAGCCAAAGTTTTTGACATTTTGTTGCTTTTTTACTTCCCTAAAACTACTCTTTTTTGGGGAACATGTCCCCTTGTTTTGTTCATTCAGGGATACAAAAGGGAGAGTAGTTCTAACAACATGAACTGGACTTAACAGTTGTGGTCTGCTGGATATCTGAATGATCATGTAGGCCACAAAGAAACACATCACCTTAGTGGGTAACTGCATCCCTGCTCATGACAGGATGAAACATCAGATGTTGGGGAGGTAAACCAGCCAGGAAAAAGACATCTGGAGGCATTGGTTTCAGAATGTACTTTCTTTTATTTGTCACCTGACTATGCAGAACTCCTCTGATGGCCTGAACATTTTCTATATTCACAGGAATAGGAGAGGGTAGGAATCTCAGTGGAGCTAGTGCCGCTGCTCCTTATTCCTGTGTGCAAAGCCATGATTACAACTGCCATTGCTGAGAATGTGCACACACAGGCAGGGAGGGAGAAGGCTGTCCCTTAATGTGGGCAGAGTTCAGGGTATGTTCTTTCAAACTGAGAAAGCTCAAGAAATTGTGTGGAATGGTCAAAATGGTGTCACATTACATTAATGTACATATTTAAATTTCATCCAATACCTTTTCATCATTTGCTGCCATTAAAGATTCCATAGCCTTTTTCATCTTTTGTACTTCAATATCTGAAAATAATACAATATTGAATCATAAATCAGTTTAATTATCCTGAGAAGCTACTTACTCTTCAGATAAAATGTTTTAAGGTAAAGATGTTATTGATTTGTTTTATTTGTTTTTAAAAAGGAACACATTTAACACCTATATTCTCTCTTAAGGAAAACCTAAAAGGTGAACACTTCTTAACAGCTGTGATTCCAGAAAAACAATATGGGTACAGGAGAACTAAATTCTCCCTCAAGCAACAATGAAATTCTCCCTAGTGCACTAAAGATGGAACTTGGTTGTATAACAATAAAAACACAGTTTTCAAAAATGGAAGGTATAAAGCAGTGATTGAAAGCAATGAATGGTATACATAATGACCAAAGCAGAGAAAATGATGCTCAGTTATAACTAAGATGGAGGCATGGATGGTAAGAGCCTGATGGATTGTGATATTTACATGAATAGTCATGCTTAGAAGTTGGCTGTAGGTTCCATACAAAAGAATAATAAATACTTTGCTTCATCTATAAACTTCATTTCCAATACTATTTTAAGGCAAACTTCAAGACATAAGGACCAAAGTAAGTTGAAAGTAATTTTCCTTAAAATTTGATATTCAGGGGCTGGGGTTATAGCTCAGCGGTAGAGCGCTTACCTCGCACATGTGAGACACTGGGTTCAATCCTCAGAACCATATAAAAATAAATAAAGATAATTGTGTCCATCTTTTAAAAATTTGATATTCAAATTCAAAAGCAGATTACATGAATAACAAAATATTTTAAAAATGAAAAATTCATCCAAAAGTGAAAGTACAAATTAAATAACTGAAACACCAAGAAAATATATGCAAAATAGCTTCTAATGTAGATTTCATGAAATAGTGGATTTCCAAACATGGAAAAGCTAAAGCAAAGTTCAAATTGATCTTTCAACTGTGGTAAACCTTAAAAACAATGCATTTTCATAGAATATAAATGTTATTTTCCCTCTTTACCTGGGCGACAGAGAAAATGTTCTCTGATCTCCACCCTACTGGATGCCTTGCTCTATCCTGCACAGCTAAAGGGTTGAATCGGGCAAAATCTGCAAAGTGATCTTTTCTTCCATATTTTCATTTTCATTGTCTGTTTGTCTAGCCTCTATTTTGTACACTCGGAAGAAATGGAGGGCTTATTGATGAAGCAACATTACATCTTTGGTGAGAAATGTTTTAAAACACATGCAAAGAACAAAGTAGTACTTCTGGTGATGCAAAGGCTGATGGAAATACACCAAAACCTTACTTTTTTCTTTGAGCTTCTTTTTAAAAGTTTCATCTGTGCGGGAAAACCCATTGAATTGAAAGTTAGCAAACATTTCAGCAATAAAAAATATTTTAAACATACTATTAGTCTCCTTTTACCTAAAATGAAGGGATTCTAACCTTATAAAAACATTATAAGAAGCATTATTTTGTGACTGTAGGACTGATGGGAGGAGACTGATCAGAAAAATCTAACTTCAAATTACTACATCTGAGTCTTCATATTTCTGAACCTTGATTTTTTTGTGGGAAAATCAGACATAACAAAATCCAAGTGTTTCCTAAACACCATATGCAATGAAAAATGAGTTAATGTTGCTTTGGTAGTTTTTTCATTTCTATAACAGAAATGTTACATGTTCAAAACATGGTCCTCTGGAAAGTGGCCAGTACAATGCTATGCCACACTGAATTCAACACTCAAGTTCTGCAACACTGAAATGGTCTATCAGCCATTCAATGAGATGAGTCATGTTGAGCCAGTTATATATGCCACAAAATTTCCAAGACTTTTCTCTGTATCTGCCATTATCTGTTTGTACACTGGTAACAAGCAGTTCATACACTGGGTCCAGTCCTCAGTTCAGACTGTGGGCAACACTACTCTAATACATCCTCAAGTCCTGTGATTCCATTTTTTTTTCAAAGCACTAAAATGGGGCTGAGGCTGTAGCTCAGTAGTAGGCCTTGTGCCTAGATTAATCCTCAGCGTGTGTGTGGCGGGAAGCAAGCCTATTCCTGAATGCTCTTTGACAATATCTTACATATTCCAAAATATGGGAGATGAGGGGAGGGGATTCCATTCCCTTCAGGTTTGAGGAACTGATGAACAGGGAATTATGATACCTACAGGTATATAAAACCACAGTATTCTAGAGCCAAGAAGGACTTTAGAGGCAATCTAATTCGAGTCAGAAAATAATGTTATTCATTTTCACATAACAGATAAAAATATGCCAATGCTATACTAACTGAAATCTGTTCTGTTTCAAATGACTCAGAAGTTGCTTTGGTATTTTAGTGTTGCAGTCTTCCTTCCTTTATAATCACAAAGAAAGGCTAAATTTGACCTAGTGTTGTCAGATGTTTCATCAAGTTATTTTTCATCATGTATAACCTATATTATCAGGATTACAAACAATACAGTATTCAGAAAAATCCTCCTTAGTTACGGAAAAAAAAAATCTTTGGATAAATTCATACATTTTTCCAAAACAGAATAAGCCTATCTTTGCTCTCTAAAAGATTGAGAGCTTGGCCCACAGTAGGAAATTTTCACCAATATTCCAAAGATAGAGAGCCATTCCTTTTTTCTCTTAAAAGAGTAGGGGAGGTTTCTAGATCCCTTATTTCATCTTTTCTCAAGTTCAGTTCAGAGGAAAACAATCTTGGGACACAGTAATTGTTCCTTTTGCTTCTTCCAACATTCCCTTGTATTGCAATTTGAAAAAGTATGCTCTTGTGATGAAAACGTACAATTTAGTCAATTAAAGTGAACACCCAATGAAGTACAGAACTGCCCTACCCCTGCTGCTTCAGAGAAAGGTCAGGACTTCTCTTGCCACAGTAGAGTCCCAGAGAACTCCCTGTGGCTGTCGGCATACTTGGTCTGTTACTTTCCCCATTTCTTTCATACTGAAATTATATGTTGACTAACTTTAGATTCTCTCCTAGATTTTTGAGGATTTTAACAAAGTAAGATAACAAAAGTTAAACAAATATACCTACCTCTATCAAGAATCTCAACCCCTTCTCCTTTCATCTTGCAAACCAACTTTTCTTGCAGCCTTTTTACTTCAGATTCCTTCTCTTCCAGTTGTTCTTTTAAAGATGCCAGTTCATCCTACAAATTGTAAATTTATTTTAAAATTGTATATTATGACTGAAAGGGAATATTTAAAGAGCACATTAACTCTTTAGATCAGTAATCTGATTGGACAAATGAAACAAAAATCTATAAGAATTTAGACACAAACATCAGAAATTACACAGTAGCGATGATAAGCAGGAGGCAAGACTATTAAAATAAGTATAATTTATAATAATCATGACATAATTATTTCAGGTTTCTTTGTGAGTAAATTAAAAAGAAATCTTTTAAAGTATAATTAAGGCTGGCTAGTATATTATATTAAATTACAAAACATGATTAAGATAATCAAAATTACATTCTTAATGTCATAAATGGCAAAATAAAAGGCAAATGGAAAAGACTTCCTGACATTCACTCAGCATTTCAACATGGCACACTAATGCTTCCTAGACAAGCACTGAGCTTCAACCAGTGGGCAAGGTAGAAGTCATGAACCACCTTAGCTAAATTATAGGACGTAATTATTCATTCTTATAATTAAGCAAAAGAACAGAACCTTTTATGGCAATGGGAAAAGAAAAATTTCAAAAAAGGACTTAAATATCAAACTAGTCAACTATAAAGGCTTCAATGTCATTTGTTTATTTACTTATTCAATTTGCAATTCTGGAGATGAAACCCAGAGTCTTGTGCATACAAGATAATGCTCTATCACTGACTGAGCTATATCCCCATCCCTTTTGCTAATATTTTAGATTTCTGTTTCATTTTAGTAAAGAACTAGTTTTAGCAAATCTAAGTTCTACTGTCTATTTTTAATGCAAAAAAATAGAGCTGTGCAATGCTAATATGCATAACTTTATATTCAATATCACATTTCATTTTCAGAGTCTACAGATATTTATTACACTTAGTATTATGAGAAGATGTAGTACACCAATGAAGGTGGAAGGTTTGCCCTACAGTTCTGACTTATGGTAAGAATGAACACCAAGTCCAAGACATTTTCACTAGCACTATTAAGATTTGCTGTGCTTTTCTCATTGTGTTGCTTTTTAGCAGTAATTTCTGTTCAAGGCCATGATAACATAACATTATATATCTTCAAGAAAGCCTTGAAGGAGAAAAGCAGTATCTACTACTGTTATGAAATAAAAATTCTTTCACAGATGAACTTTTACAATTATTTTATGATGTTCGGGGGATCAAAGAACCTGAGGATTAGATTTAATTTATAAGCTTGCTTGTTTGTTTATTTATTTATTTAGGGGCTTGAACTCAAGAGTGCTTTACCACTGAGTTACATTCCCAGTCCTTTTATTAAAGTTTTTGTTTTGAGACAGGGTCTTGCTAAGTTACTTGGGGAATCACGTTAAGATGCTAAGGCTGGTCTCAAACTTGTGTCTTTCTGTTTCAACCTCCCGAATCACTGGGATTACAGGTACATGCCACCACACCTAGCTAATACTTTTATTTTACTTGCTTATTATTTTTCATTTATTATGTTGGATATTTCTGAAAATAGCATTAGGGATCTCATTGTCTCTTTCATCAATGTTGTATGTATTTTTAATAAACAGCTGACATACACACATACACAAAATAAATGCACATGCCACTAAAAACACTATCACAGCAAAACAACACAAGCCAGAAAGTGACAGGCCATGGAGCCCATCACCCAAAGTCTACTACACCTTCAGTGACTCCCATTTTTGTTCCATCCGCTGCTTTTCATACTGCATCTGACCCACCTTGATTTTCATGCTAGAAAGTTTGGCCATTAAAGACTGGTAGAGAGACAGAGGAGTGAAAGAAAACTAGAGAGAAACAGACATACTAAATAACCAAGAAAACAGTATCAGTTTTTAAAGGAGGTTAGATAACTCAGAGAAATGGCAGGTTACATTCTGGGAGATTAGTTAAGTCTTGTTTATTATTCAGAACAGTAGTGTTTATTTTCAAAGTTTCCAGCTTGGAGAAAAATATCATTTACTTATAAAATACCTTATTATCATATACTAAGTAGAAAACATTTTCATTTATATTATTGGTGACAGATGAGTAGTGGAGCTATTCAAATTTGTTTTTATAGGTAAGAAACTTACTTTGGTTGACTTAAGCTTTTTTTCATATTGAAGTCTTTCACTATCCATTTCACTGACTTTTAACCTTAAATCATTGATCTCCTGGATTAGTCCCTGTCCAAAAAAAAAAAAACAAGAAACACATTAGGAAAGTGGTAGCAGTTACCTCAGTTACCTGCTGTACCAAAGTAGCAGCTTAGTTTTTCTTTTTTTTAAGTACTGGGGAAGTGCTCTACCACTGAGCACTGAGCCACATCTCCAAGTTCTTCTAATTTTTTATCTTGAGACAGGTCTTGCTACATTTCCCAGGCTGACCTTGAGCTTGCAATTTTCCTGTGTCAGACTCCAGAGTCCCTGGGATTATGGGTATGCACTACCTGTGCCATCGAATATCTGATCTTAAGAAGGTGGGAAATCTTAAGAGGTAAACAGCTCCTAGGGTTTTAAAGTTGTGTGAATCAGGTCTGACAAATGGAAAACCAGTAAATGTATTTCCTAAAGACCAAACTGTTTAGAAAAAAAAATTTTTTGTAGTTGTTGATGGACAGCATATTTATTTATTTTCTTTCTTCTTTTTTTTTTTTTAATGTGGTACTAAAGATCAAACCTAGTGCCCCAAACATGCTAGGCAAATGCTGTGCCACTGAGCTATAGCTACAGCCCCAAATCAAACCATTTTCTTATTTAAACACTGCTTTAAATTCCCAATGCTTCTGCCCTAAAGTGGTGGGCTTACAAAAATAAAAGATTAACAAAGTTCTACTATTTATATCTTGAGTGTCCCCAAGGACAAAAGCTGTGATCCCCAGTATGGAGCTGCTGGGAAGTGGTAGAACCTTTAAGGGGTGGGATCTACTGGGAGGTTCTGAGGTCTTTGCCATTTAAAGGGCCTGTAAGACCCTAACCCCTTCCTCTCTTTTTTGTTTCCTGGCCATGGAGTGAGCAATTCTGTTCTTCAACATGTTCTCCTGATGCTCTCCTACTTGCAAAAGGAACAAGGACAATTGATCATGAACTGGAACCTCCAAGACTGGGCCCAAATAAACATTTTTCTCTTTATACATTATCTAAGGTATTTGACACAGTGATGGAAAGCTAAGTAACACAGAAAAGTAGTTTCATATCTGACTCACAACCATTTGTTGGCTGTTTCTAGACTAAAACTATGAACTCTGTCTTTAAAAATAAACCAAAGAAATTTTCTTGTAAAGTCATTTACCTTGAAGGCCTTCTCACTGATACATAAGTATTTATAAAAAAAAAATTTTAAATAATTTCTTCCTTTGTCTACAAAAATACAGATTACCTTTAAATTCTTTAAACAAAAAGATTCTCAATTTGAAGATGAAGGTACTGTAGTTTACACATATATTTTACATAATACAATTTTATATTGGGAAAATGAGAAAGAAAACAATCCTAATGTTTTCATAATGGAATATAAAAAAACTTGGTATCTTTCTACTGCCACTTTAAAAAAAAAACTAATTTGCCTGTAAATTTTGCCTAAATATTGAGTATATATTTTGTCTAGAGCCCAGAGAGGAAGAAAAGAAATTTAGGATGTTAAACAATAATAACTCCTCCAAATAAGAAGCTCAAATACATTGCAAAGGAGACTTTTTGTTTCCCCCTTTTCTTTTGAGCTATACATCACAAAGATTCCTCCAGTGGTTAATATCTTAATATCTCTTTCATCTTATATGACATTTATTTCTGGACAATGAGTTCATTGATTGTAGAGCAGAAGTATACAAACATGTCAAAAAAGTAGAATAATGCTTTAACAACTTTATTAACAGATTATTCTAAAATTATAAGTGTAATGATTCCAAGTCATAAATGCTGGGGAAAGGGATGCTACATAGGAATATACTTCCCAGTAAAACTATAAAAAGGGTTCTTGTAAAAAGGGTAAAACTATTCCCTACCTTTATAAAATTGCTTAATGATAATTATATAATGTTTCAGTAAGAGAAAATAGATTTTTTTCCTTTTATGAGGTCAAGAATATGTGACATTACTAAAAAAAAAAGTTTAGTTAGATCCCTTATTTTAAGTTCAGAACTGAAGTTCAAAGAAAGTCAGTTTCTCCCACTTAGTAATCATCCTTGCATAATACAAGTCATTAGTGATCTTCCTTTATCCAGTCTTTAAAATATATATGTTATGGTTTAGATAAGAGGTATTCTCCCAGAAGCTCATATGTGAGACTACAATAAAGTTTAGAGGTGAAAAGATTGGGTTATGAGAGCCCTACTCTAGTCAGTGCATCAATCCACTGATAAGGATTAACAGGGTGCTGACTACATGTGGCTGGAAGAGGTGGGTCACTGGGGGCGTGCCTTAGGGTTTGTATTTTGTCTGTGATTTTTGTCTGTTTGCTTCCTGATTGTCATGCCCTTCTTCCTTGATGTTATGCTTCACTTCAGGCCCAGAGCAATGGAGCCAGCCATCTATGGACTGAGACCTCTGAAATGGTGAACAAACTGTAAATAAACTCTTCCTTCTCTAAAATTGTTCTTGTCAGGTTTTTTGGTCACAGAAGTGGAAAGGCTGACTAAAACAAAATATTTTTCTACTTTCTCAATGTTAAAGAACAGCTTTGAGTTCCTATCTGGCACTGTTGCATATTTTACCACTTCCTTTAGTGGCAATTTCCAAAAGAGAAGAAGCATAGTATATACTTCTAAACAAACAAAATTACTTGCCAAGCATGGTAGTACATGGTCTGAAATCCCAGTGGCTCAGGAAGCTGAGGCAGGAAGATCATAAATTCAGTCAGTCTTAGCAACTTAGCAAGGCCCGAAGCAACTTAGGGAGACCATGTCTCAAAATTAAATATAAAAAAAGGCTGGGGATGTGGCTTAATGGTTAAGTACCCTTGGGTTCAATCCCTAGTACCAAAAAGAAAAACAAACAAACAAACAAACTACTCAATTATCTTTCATGGCAATACTTTGAACATGAATCTAAATCTCCAACTTAGAAGAAATAAATCTTTCCATATTAACTCAAGTTGGAAAACATGGAAATTGATCCCAAGTATGAAAATCTTAACAGGGGAATATTAATTATTTCAATTAACTTATCAGAATTTCAGTCCTAAAGAAAACATGTTATCTTCCCCTTTGTCCTTAAAAAGAACTCAAGATAGAGCTCCCACAGCAATTCAGTTTCTGACATCTGAGTTCTTACCAGAAGAGGGCACTGTTGAACAATATTAACCATGTCTCATCAGCAATTCCTGGGACAATCAAGCCTGGAATCTTTCAAGGTTTCAATATTAACTCATAATCTTTTGGAAACTGCCTATATTTCTTCCTCAATTCAATGTTTTATTAGAAATTACTATTCAAATATTTTTAGATTCTAAGACAAAGTTAAAGGATTTGGGATTCATGATACAGCTAGGAAAACATTTTGTTTCTATTGAACAATAACAGGAACATATGCACATCCAATTCAGCTTTAATTCTGAAGACTTTTAATTATTTTCTTATATAACATCACAAATATAAAATAGTCTATAATTTATAGGTATGTGCATACTACATTTTACCAATAGTATTCAATATTTATTAGAAAACCATCAGAAACTGAGTTCTATGGGAAGTGTGATAACAAGATCACCTTGCCTATGGATGAGAATTCAAGAGTAAAGTAAGAAAGCAGTGGGGGAATGTGAAAGAAAATGCAGACAAACTTCAGAAATGTAAACATTGTTCTGGGATCATGCCAAGAAATCCCAAAACATCTGCAATTTAGTCCCAAAGTTGGGATCTCTTACCCAAATTAAACTAACAGTTGAACAGGTTAAGACTTCTTTTAAACTTTGCATATCTTTGTAGATGTTATGAAGAAGGCCACATCTTGATCCCTTTTCCTTTTTTTCCCCCCTGTAGCAGAACTAGCTCCCCTGCCATGTTGTCTACCTGTTGACCAAGTTCTATTATTATGTTAGGCAGTGACTATGAAGTCAGGAAATGACAGAAAAAAGAAAGAAAAATCTCTAAATGGATTTTTAAAGAAAGCACAAAACCAAGAATTTTAAAGACATTGGGTAACTTTCTAAGTCCTTTTTAAGCGCTCCAGTCTCAATCAAAGGAAAAACATTGCTCACATAGGTGACAGAGCTTCAAGATTGAAACACAAATGAGTTAGGGATTTCCTTTTCCTATGGAGGAAGCAAGAAATAAAAACAAGACTTTTCATTAAAGCTAAATCTTTGACAGGAAATTTAATTTTGCAAATAATAATGGGGTAAATCGCATTACCTCAAATTGGACTTTCAAACTGTGGACAATAGATAATATACATGATTAATGTGTGATCATGGCAGTACATAGTTGATATAAAATTAATATTTGATATGCAGAGAAGGGAAACATAAGGAAATGATTGCCTTCCCCCTCTTTCTTATTTCCCATTTTATGATTTAATATGGTACCTCCCCATCCTCTTAAGGAAGAAAATGAAATAGAAGAAAAGGAGGAGAGAATTTGGAGAATTTCTACAGCTCTTTACATTTAACTAATTTTATTTATTTATCTATTTATTTTCTTATTTTAGTTTGGGGACTGGACCTAGATCCCTTCACATGCTAGGCAAACACTGTGACACTGAGCTACATCCTGGGCCCTACATTTCATTTTAAAGAACAAAACTACAAACTGGAACACCTGGGTTAACAATAAAATGGGGAGAACAGACAAGTTTGCTTAGCCAGCCACAGGTATTTCAGGTTATAGAATCTACCTTGAGTTTCAAAAAGGTACAATGAATTTCATTTAATTGATTTATGTGTGGAGCAGACCAAAAATAGAAGGCCAAATTAAATGACCTCCACAAAGCTTTGTGATTGTATGATTGCATGATGTGGACATATTCTCTAAATACATAAAAACATCCTCTTGGGTGGGGGTTGTGGCTCAGTGGTAGAGCACTTGCCTAGCATGCACAAAGCCCTGGGGTTGATCCTCAGCACCACATAAAAATAATTAAATACAGGTACTGTATCCAAATACAACTAAAAAATAAAATATTTTTTAAAAATCCTCTTATTATGTAAGTAAATAATAAGTGTGCCTCAATAAGGGCTACTAATAAAATCATGCATATAAATACATTTATTTTAAAACTTAAGGGACCTGTGTGGGACCCAGGCCCACAGTCTGGGTCCATCCTGCCACAGGCAGACAACCACTGGAGCTCAGGTTCCAGCACAGGAATGCCTCTTCCAGCCAGTAGACTACTGCAGGAGCTTATACCCAGCCCAGATTCGCCCACATGGACAGGGTAGGTCCAAGTTCGCCACCTCCCCCGCACCTGGGACCCGAAGCCTAACCCACTTGCATCTTGGGACACTGCAAACATCACCATCGTCTTCCCCACACAGTAGCCCCTACATTTTTGACAAGAGACGGGGCCTAGAAGCAGTTGCATCTCAGAGCAGACATCACAAAGACAGCATGAAGCCTACCCTTTGAGCCCCATCTCTGTAAGACATTGCATCCATATTGGGGCACCTCCACTATTATCTCAATATTGCCACCACCATGTCCAGTTGCAGTAGCATTCATTGAGGGACACCAGCAGGGTCTGGAAGCCCAACATCAAGGTGAGGTACAGACAATCTGCACGGGTACTACAAGAATATAGGGTAGAAACTGTAGTATCTCAGATTCACACTGCAAGAAAGTAAGACATATAGACAACATGAAAAAACAAGGGAGGAAAGTGCCCCCAAACAAACCAAGATACTATAATAATAAAACCCATGGATAGCGAAATTGATGAAATGTCAGATAAGGAGTTCAGAAGACTCATAATTAAAATGAGCTGTGAATTAAAGAATGACCTAAATGAGCAAGTATAAGCAAAAAATTGATCACTCCAACAGATAAAAGAGCAAATACAGGTAGCAAAAGATTACTTCAAGAAAGAGATAGAGACTGTGAAAAAAAATAACAGAAATCCTTGAAATGAAGGATACAATAAATCAAATAAAAACTCATTAGAAAGCATAACCAACAGACTAGATCACTTGGAAGAAAGAACGTCAGATAATGAAGACAAAGTTTACAATCTGGAAAATAAAATTGATCACACAGTGAAGATAGTAAGAAACCATAAACAGAATATCCAAGAATTATGGGACAGCATCAAAGACCAAAGCTAAGCGGACTAGAGGAAGGCACAGAGTTGCAAACCAAAGGAATGCACAATCTCTTCAATAAAATAATATCAGAAATTTTCCCAAGCATGAAGAATGAATCAGAGAACCAAATATAAGAGACTTTCAGGACACCAAATGTACAAAATTACAACAGATCTGCACCAAGGCACATTATAGTGAAAATGCCTAGCATTACAGAATAAGGATAGAATCTTAAAAGCTGCAAGAGAGAGGAATCAGATCACATATAAGGGGATACCAATTCATATCTCAGCAGATTTTTCAACCCAGACCCTCAAAGCCAGGAGATCATGGAACAACATATACCAAGCTCTGAAAGAAAATGGATGCCATCCAAGAATCTTATATCCAGCAAAATTAAGCTTTAAACTTGATGATGAAATAAAAACTTTCCATGATAAACAAAAATTAAAAGAATTTACAACTAGAAAGCTACCCTACAGTACATCCTCAGCAAAATATTCCACAAAGAGGAAATGAAAAACAATGATGAAAATCAGCAGAGGGAGGTATTACACTAACGGAAAAACTAATCAGAGGAGAAACCAAGTCAAGTTAAATACCAAAAATAAACAAAAATGGCTGAGAATACAAATCATGTCTCAATAATGGTCCTGAATGTTAATGGCCTAAACTCACCAATCAAAAGACATAGACTAGCAGGTTGGATCAAAAAAACAAGACCCAACAATGTGCTGCCTCCAAGAGACTCATCACATAGAAAAAGACATTCACAGACTGAAGGTGAAGGGTTGGGAAAAATCATACCACTCACATGAACTGCGGAAGCAAGCAGGGGTTTCTATCTCATATCAAATAAAGTAGACTTCAAGCTAATCAAAAGGGGTAAAGAATGATACTATGTACTGCTCAAGGGAAGCATACACCAACAAGACATAAGAATTATAAATATATATCCCCCAAAGATAAGAACCATATGATCATCTCAACAGATGGAGAAAAAACATTCAACAAAATATAGCACCCCTTCATGTTCAAAACACTAGAAAAACTAGGGATAACAGGAACATATCTCGACATCGTAAAAGCTATCTACGCTGAGCCCCAGGCCAACGTCATTTTAAATGGAGAAAAATTGAAAGCATTCTCTCTAAAAACTGAACAAGCCAGGGATGCTCTCTTTCTTTCCATATGCAACAAAATGAAAAGTAAACCCCTATCTCTCAACATGCACAAAACTCAATGCAAAATGGATCAAGGACCTAGGAATTAAACCAGAGACACTTCATCTATTGGAAGAAAAAGTAAGCCCAAATCTCCATCATGTCAGATTAGGCCCCAATTTCCTTAATAAGACTTCTATAGCACAAGAATTAATATCAAGAATAAATAAATGGGATGGATTCAAACTAAAATGCTTCTTCTCAGCAAAAGAAACAATCTGTGAGGTGAATAGAGAGCCTACTAATTGGGAACAAATTCTTACCACATGCGCGTCAGATAGAGCACTAATCTCTACAATATATAAAGAACTCAAAAATCTTAGCACCAAAAAACAAATAACCCAATTAATAAATGGGCCAAGGAACTGAACAGACACTTCTCAGAAGATATACAATCAGCCAACAAATATATGAAAAAATGTTCAACATCTCTAGCAATTAGAGAAATGAAAATCAAAACTACTCTAAGATTTTACCTCACTCCAGTCAGAATGGCAGCTCTTAAGAATCCAAACAACAATAAGTATTGGCGAGGATGTGGGGAAAAAAGCACACTGTAGGTGGGACTGCAAAATGGTAGAGCCTATTTAGAAAGCAGTATGGAGAATCCTTCGAACACTGGGAATGGAACCACCATTTGACCCAGCTGTCCCTCTCCTTGGTCTATACCCAAAGGACTTAAAAACAGCATACTATAGGGACACAGCCACATCAATGTTTATAGCAGCACAATTCATAACAGCTAAACTCTGGAGTCAACCCAGATGCCCTTCAATAGATGAATGGATAAAAAAATGTGGCATATATACTCAAGGGAATATTATTCATCAATAAAAGAGAATAAAATCACAGCATTTTCAGGTAAATGGATGGAATTGGAGAATATAATGCTAAGTGAAATTAGCCAATTCCCCAAAACACAAATGCCGAATGATTTCTCTGATTTAAGGATGCTGATTCATAATATGCTGTGGTGGGGTGGGGGTGGGGGAATAGAAGGATTACATAAACTCTAGATAGGGCAAAGGAGAAAAGGGGAGGGATGGGAAGGGAAGGGGTACGGAGGTAGGAAAGAAGGTGGAATACAATGGTCATCATTACCTTAAGTACATGTATGAAGACACGAAGGACGTGACTCTACTT